TTGGTCGACACACAAATATTTTATTACTAATACTAAGTTTATTTAATAAATCTTTAATATATTTATTTAACCCTTCCTCCACAATTTGATCTTCTTCTATTTGATCTTGTAATTCATTATTATTGTAATTGGAGTTGAGTATATTTAATTCTGTGGGTAGTTTATTAGTTACTCTATTTGATAAGGAACTTGATTGTTTAGAGAAATTTGATGGAAACGTTGCTAGTAAAGGCGATTGTAATTGATTGTTGAGAATCTCAAGAATAATATTATCGAATGAATTTCCCTCGCTTCCCTCTCCTTCTTCTCCTTCTCCTCTTTCGATTCATTATTTATAATTATATCTTTAAACCAATTTTTTAAATTTTTTTTTCAATTTTGCCACTGATCTTATCTGCTGTGATTTCTCTTCTTTTCCACTACAATCAGAAAGCTTATTAAATATATGAACAACAGATAATATGTTATCAATTATGGAATCATCATAAACGCATTTTTCATAAAGCGGTCCCATATAGTATTCTTTTAAATTTAGTATTTGGCCATCAAAAGATTTATTAGCATATAATAAATGCATTGATAATTTATTTTCATTATCTGCATCATTAAAATTAAAATGGTTTAAATGATATTTTATTAACAAAAAAAAATATAAATTAATTAGTAATAAAATTTACCAAATCATCAACCCAATATATTTTTATAACTTCTTACCTAAATCATTGGTATAATTCTAGTTACTCCACATATATATAAATTATCCCAACATCCATTATTAACGTCAATATAATCATTATCATTATCCTTATTATCAATAATATTTAATAGAAAAGGATTATTAGATATTTCTATTGGTGTAGTTGGAATGTTATTATTATTGTGTTGTTGTTGAAGAAATCTTGGTGTTATTGGTGATTTTATTGATGTTGTATCAGTTGATAATGATAATATTCTATTACCAAATTCAAATGGATCTCTTGCTTGAATTTCAAATCCAATTAATAGGCTGTTTAAATGTTTTGACATCAGACAATTTGGATAAATCTTTACTAGAATACAAAAACTTTTCATATTTTTTCCATCAATTGGCGTATAACTCCTAATCTGACCTTTAACTTTTGCCTGAATTTCAATATAATGTCCGGGCAAATAATCCAAATCCATATCGTAACTTTTCCCATTATTATTACTGGCAAACGTGAATTTGATGATTGAGAATTTGATATTATTATTTATTGTTGATTTGTCAATTAGTTTAAATCTTCTAAATTTAAATTTATGAAATGTTGGATCTTTAATATTATTAATATTGTCGTCGGGATAATGATCAATGTACTTTGCTATTATCATTTTTGACATTTTCTTGGTTGCAATGTAACTATAAGAGTGAATCGCTAACAGAGGTTTAATAATATATTTTTTATTAAAATCGTCAACTATTGCTGCAATAACATCAGAATCAAATGCTGATTTTTTGTTTGATTTTATTACTGAAGATGAAGAGAAAGAATGGTGCTTGATTGTTTCATCAATAGTATTCTTTCGATAAAAATCTAATATATAAAATATATTCAATTTTTGTTTATCTGTAAAGTGAAAATGTAAAAAAAATATATATAAAAAGAACACTGAGTTTTTACCATCTGTAATATCAGTTCCAATTACATTCCCCAATATTTTTACTCCTCCCGGATGACCACTAATCCAGCTTCTTATATATATCGATCATAAATTACTAAATGTGTCTGAAATAACAAGTAATAATACAAGCAATATTAAAAATAATAATATCGACCAACGCTTTAAATTCTATTAATTAATTGGTTACACCCAACCCACTTAATTAAAAAACTTACACCTTTTTGAACTTTATCATTAAATTCATCCAATGTAAATTTTCATACTTTTCATCGTCAAGATTATCAATTATAACCTTTTTTTACTTTGATTACCATCATTTCCATATTCACTTTTATTTTCATAGCGAATTTTCAGGATCACCAACCCCACTCTGAATTGTAACCTCTTACACTTGAAATGAGTTCCAGATTCTCACAATATTCCTCCAGAGTTGTAACATCTTGGTCACAGAGCCATCCTCATCCTAGGGGTAGGATCGTTGCAGGCAACTTTTTGATCAGCATGCCGGCAGCCTTCTCTGGTGTGGGTGCTGTGAGGGAAGATTAGTGGAAGTGACGGCAACCTTTTCAACCCCATAAATGTTTTTAAATGCTATGATGATTTTTAATAGTAGAAAACTTTTACCGGTTCCTGCAGAACCGGTGAAAAATATATTCACGCGTTGATTTACCGCTAGATCATAAACTATCTGTTTGCTCATCTGATGGTTTCACATTTATTGGTTTTATTTTAAAAAAATCAACGATTTTTTCCTGACTGTTCACATTGTAAGAAAAAGAAAGTGAATAATGATAGGTATTATTGTTGGTAACTGGAATGACGACGAATGGCGATAACTACCACCGCCATCCTTATGATAAACACTTACTCTTTTGCCTCTCCTTTATTTTTTTCTGCTCTTCTTTTTTTGCTGTTTCGTTGAAACATCAAAGAATAATTATTGATTTGATCGACATGTACACATTAATTATTTATCCTTATTGGTTTTTTTTTGTTGACACAATTTTTTTTCTTGGGAGGACAGACGCGAATCGAATTGTTTTTTTTCCTTGGGAAACAATCTATGTTTCAGTGATGAAACGCAAGTGATGTTGTTTGGTATGGTATGGATTGGCTCTGAAGCAGATGTATTTTTTTTATTTGTATTGATATGTATGTGGTGTCTTTTATTTTATATACTGTAAATATTTTGCTGGGTAATTATAAGATCCTTATCAACAACGAACGATTGGTACTTTTGCTTTTCGTAATCAGTAATATTAATATTAATATAAATATATAATTACATTAAGACGTCAAGGCAGCACACCGTTGAATATAAAACATTTCGATATGCGATGTTTGATTATCAGAAATTTACAGATGTTGAAGCATGCACGCTACCTTGAACACTTTACAGTCATTCTCACACGTTCCTCGTGTACACAAGGCTAATCTGACTGGCGACCCCTCGATGATATAACGATGCTGTTAAATTCTAGGGGAGGGGCGCAATGCACAGGAATGCATCAAGACTGCATCAATCATCAAGATCATTGCTACAACAGGCATAGCAGAAGTCAACATCACCAGCACAACTTTACACTCTTTTGCAGGCATAGGACTAGATACCGAATCAACAAAAGAGCTTATTGAAAAAATCAAAAAAATCAAAAACCCATTATTTACAATGGCAATCTATTAAAGCATTGGTTATTGATGAAGGTATAATTGATTTTTTTTAGAAAGTAGTAATCATCATTATTTGATTATTTATTAATTTTTAATTACTTTATAATTTATATATAGTCACAATGCTTGATGGGGACTTGTTTGATAAACTGGAAGCAATTACAAAAGCTATTTGTGATAATGATAAACCATTTGTATAAATTTAAGTAAAATAATAATTAAAATAAAATACCAAGATTCACCATTAGAAGCAGATTTCAACCTCACAATATTAATAATATAGGGTATGCAGATTATGTATGTAAAATCATAATCTTTTGTTCTTGTGCAAAGAATAAATACAATTATATTAATTATCCAATGTATACATTAAAAAAATAGTTAATTACTCAAAAAAAAATTCAATATCAATAAAAATAATAATATGAAGTTTTAAATAAATAAGCATTTAAAATCCAATTCATTGATCTGTTAATGACTCATAAAATCTCTTTATTCTTTCATCAGCCATTATCTTTTCTCTTGTGAAGTTTAAAACCTGTAAAGATTTAGCTTGAGACAAAGCAACATATGCTTGCCATATTTACAAAAAAAAACATAATAATTTATTAATTTATTATAATAGTTATATTATCATTGTTATGAATATGTATATAAATACCTTTTTCAAAAACCTCTTTCAAATCAATTTTGACTCTTTCCAGTATTTGGCCCTGGCTTTTAATGAATGCTAATTGCCCAAGCAAGTATAAGAGGAATCTAATATTACATTAAATATATAATAAATACATACATATATATATTATAAAAAAAACTATACACATACATATAAGTACAAAAATACCTACTTGTTGTCTATTTGCTGATACAACATTACCAACAGTTTCTAGTTTCCACTCAGCTTCACAAACAAACACTTTTTTATTCTCAACAAATCTAACTATTGCCAACCTTTCATCTTTCTGGCCAAACTCCACAATCTCATCTTCACCATCATAATAACTTTTTTAGTAGAATTTGAATAAAAATCAACAATAATACTTCTACTCCCATTAACTAAATCTTTATTGATGTTTTTAATAAGCATTACTTGTGCATCACATTTTAATTCCAATTTATCTTATGCCAAGCAATCTTTAATAAGTGTCTTAATTTACCATTTTCTTTTGGTTCATAGTCTTTAGCATGATATATATATGATTTATTTTGAATTTTACTTAAAAATGCAAGTAACTTTATCAATCCTTGAGTATCTTGTAATTTAAAAAACAAACAAACAAACAAATATTATTATAGAAGTATATTATATATATCATGAATATTGATCAACTTACAATTCTGTAACCTGAATTCCATCATTAGGATATTGTGGTGGAAGCTTTAATTTATTCATGATTTCCAATTTTTTTGGTCACAATGACCAATCTAATCTCATTTAACATACCAATAAAATCTATAGAATTAGAATTAACAATTAGATCAATTTATCAAAAAGATGAATTATTAATAATAATAATTATATATTCTTTTACCAGACTCCTTTTGTCTAAAAACTGTTGATAATTGTATCATGTGTTTTATACATTTAGTCCATGAGTTTGATTCAAAACAAAATTTAAGATTATGATCTTTAGAAACTGGTGGTAGTTGAAAAAATCACCCATGACTTTTAAACCTTCCAGTTTTACATGGTATTTTTTGAACATGCATTCATGGAAGTTGAATATTCCTCTAGAACTTGTTTTCAAGGAAATATTCCCTTTGAGAACTTTGAATCGCCTGTTCATACATACCTCTTCCATTTTTCTCTAATTAAAAAAAAAATTAAATTAAAACAAACACTAAAAACAAAGTTAAAAATAATTAACAAGTAAAAAAATCTAATAAATCAATCACCAAATTAAAATAATCACTAAACCAAGCCATAAATCAAATTGTTATCAAATTTTATTTGCATCATATAAAGTTTGTTATGTTGGAGAGTTTTCTCTGAGTGTGTATTGCCTGCATGTTCATTCAACCATAAATACTAATCATATTTTCTTCATTGCTATGTGATTCATTTCTAGTATACTTTGTTAGAACAATTTTGAACCCTGAAATTTTTGGTAATACCAACGTTCACTTTGTTGCAGCATGCCCCATTTACACAAAATGCGTTATTTACCTCGGGGGTTGTTTTGCTGGAGACTTATTTTTTTAAAAAAAAAAAAAAATATTTAAACGTCAAAATGTCATACGTTAAGTTATTAACACAAGACAGAAAAGAATTAGTAGCTAAAATTTGTAATGAAATGAATAGTATTGCTTATTATGCTTTTCCAAATATTTCTGACATTGAAAATGGAAAAAATTATTTTTTACAATTGGTCAATGAAAACCAAGAACTATTAGAAAATGAAAAGGAATATTGCAGAGAAAGGTTTATTTATTCTTTTGAATTAGATAATGCAGCCTTTAAATGGGGTGAACCAAGAGAATGCAATAATTGTAAAACGACAAGATACTCTGATAAATATTGTGAAAAGTGTATTAGTCTACACTTGCAGAGCCTTTTCAGCACTTGGACATCTGAAAATGAGATAATTGATAGTTTTATTCAAGAATGTCAACAGATTTCATCTCTTCCAGGTAGAATTATAGAATGGATACCTTATGAGCAATTTGTTTATATAGAAAAGTTAACAGAGGGTGGGTTCAGTTCTATTTATACTGCTGAGTGGAAAAGAGGAGCTATTGATGACTATGATGAAAATAAAAAGGTGTTTAATTATTTTGGAGCTCAGCAAGTAATATTAAAATCATTAAATAATTCAAGTAATCCAGGAAAACCTTTTTTTGATGAGGTAATTGTTCTCATTTAAAATAAACTCAATTTAGCCATTTATTTCAATTAATTAATTTTATTTATATGATTAATTTCAGGCATTGAATTATTGTAAAATTAAATCAAGCTCAATTGTTACTTGTTATGGTATAACTAAATTCCCAGGAAATGGAAATTATGCAATAGTTCTTAATTATCTAAAAGAGGGAAATTTAAGAAATTATATAAAAAAAAATCATTCAAATTTAACATCAAAAGATAGAATTACAATTTTTAAAGATTTATGTGAGGCATTATAT